ACAGACAGACAGACAGACAGACAGACAGACAGACAGACAGACAGACAGACAGACAGACAGACAGACAGACAGACAGACAGACAGACAGACAGACATACGCAATGTCGTGCTTTGGGAGCTCTGGATTTTCTATTCATAATCAAAGTCTTAGCTCATGTTTATTCGAGGAAATAAGAGTATTATTTTTGCCCTACTAATAAATAAAAAATGACTTATAGAGGAATCGCAGGAAGGCACTGTTGGTACATGGTGCTCACCGGTAGATGTTCTTAAATTGGAATGCAATAACGAAGGCATATGGGGCGCACCACTCATAACTGGCTCGTCATCTACAAACAAAACCAGATCGGTCGCGCGTACACATCGGAATCCGCTATATTGCTCGAAATATTGTGTGGATTCCGCAGAACTATCGGTGGGTTGCACAATATCGTGTATCAACAGTGGCGACGGTGAGAATTGCTGTGGTGTCCAAGCCGACAGAGCGTACACAAGAAGTGGTAGTTGCTCTGAACGTAGTATCGGGGTATACTGTCGTCCGTAAATATGCGCGAGGATTCAGCAGTAGGATAGGCTCTGATGCCGTTGTGAGTGCGGGAACACTCTATTCAACTTGCCCTGTTCAGATTCAGGCGGGCTTGATCGTTTAAGGAAAAGTCGGCGGCGAGAGACTGTGCGCTGGCCTCCTTCTAAACAAGTAACCTCCATCTAGCGAACGAACTTGGTAAGGGCGTCGGGTCGTCGCATGACTCATGGTGTTAATAGCCAACTTTGATGCGCTGTAGATAACAGTGGTTCTCAGGAAGAACAAATCGGAGAAGGACATGCAGCTTCCTTGTCTAATTTTACCCTTAGTCAGTGATATATATAATTGGCAGGGGGGTAACAAGGGGGATAATTTTTCATTGAGCTCGTTCTCGACTTCTTGCAAAACAATTCTGCTGTAGGAGGGCTCAATGGAAAGCTCAGACCGCCCCCTGTTGAATGCAGTACCTCAATCGCGATTCGTGCTTTGGTTGATTTGTAATTTCTTGGTTGCCGTTGTCTCAACATATTATGTGATTGGACGCGAGAGACCATCGAGCGTAATCTGAACGATTTATCACTGGGTCTAAATTTCATGATGTGTAGTTTTTTTTAATCTGTTCTGCTTTTAGTTGTTCACTACGTCTAAAGTAACTGCAACAAGTTTGGATCGGATGCGCTGCAGAAATTATAGTGCGACAGAATGAATGATGTCACTATCAGTCGTCGGCCTACCAGTAGATGCTATAAAAAAAATGAGAGCTTTACTTGGTGGCCTATGCTTTTGCGTTTACCATAGGTAGTTGTGCAGTTGATGATAACTGAAAATGTCATCTATTAGAAGGACAAACAACTTGTATTTAAAACTCTAAATTAAAGAAAACTTCTAAAGCTTGCACATGACGAAATACATTTTTTAAGACGGTATCTGTTTGCACAGATACCGATGAGGGTGGCATGGATGAATAGATTATAGGACCATACTAAATTGCCAATTAACTACCAGCGTTGAATTTAAGCCTATCACACCTAATAACTGTATATTTATCCAATAGGACAAATTACACGGGCCCGATAAAGTCGTCGGGTCCGATATTTATGTATGGGGTTTCAAGTGCTACACGTTGAGCCCATTCCAATCGAATTCATACACCGTTGGACCTTCTCCCCTATAGACAACTGCAGTGTCCATTTGGTCGAATAGATGCTGGCACTCTACTACTATAAAGCTAGATGGTACTATGAAGCAACGCTCGTGACACCCACCATTACTCATGAATCATTTCTGTTTCTAGAGATGTAGTGATCATTGTTTGGCTGTTAACGCAGATCCAATCGTGAAAATAGCCCCTCCACTTTGCCGAGGTTATTGTAAGCTTACCTAGACTGATACTTTTCATATCCAGATTGCGCGGGCTCAGTAGGGTCCATGTAAGAGAAATTTCGGTTAGATACATACAATTGGGGGGTGACTGGGCCTTCATTGTTGGGTGGATCGTGACGATAACGACGGTCCTACCTCATTACAAAATTTAATCTTACAAATTTTGCGATCCAGAACGAGTTATATCTATAGATGCAAGGCTTGGCGCAGCTTCGTTCACGAAGTCGTCAAAGGCTGCTGCACTCCGTGGCACTAGTCACGGTTGGCGGTAGAGCGGGTCCAGTGGTTTGGCCGAGTCGTGAGTAGCGAATGGAGTTGGACAAGAAAGTCTTGCGTATGATGTTTTGAAGTAAGGCCAAACTCAGGTCTCTATTGACTAAGTAGACGGCCGACGTAAGGCAACGCTATGTGTTGCTAGGGCTAACGCGTAGGTATTATTGTCACGGGCGGCCTTCTGCGAGACAGCTCAACCCTCTACCGAGTGAATCCGAAACTAACATTTACCTTATGTATGTGTGCTACCGATCGTTGAAGGGTAACGTCGGGTATATCCCGCTGAGTACCCCAACGGATCCGGTATGCAGTATGAGCACCTAGCCAAATAGCTCGAGAATGAACATTTATTGGTCGTGATTGGGGTGTCGTGCAAACAATAATCTCGTCTGTTTTAGTTGGAATAATTGTTAGATGACTTGGTTTTCGAGAAACACTGGTTAGTACTTTGAAAACGAATAAGAATCGGTTTGACACTTAGAAAAGTGTCATTTTCAGCCAAACCGTGCTAAAAAGAATGCAAGCACAAACATGTAGTGTATCCCTAAGTCTCTCTTACGTACTTGCTTACACTTACACACATCATTTTAATAGCAGTGGCTATTCATACCAAAAATAGAGCCGAAACGGTTTTGAGTTTGTGCTCGTTTTATAAAAGATTTCACAATTTGAGAAAGAATAGTACAAATCCAATTGTTCATTCGTACAAACTGCCACAAAAAGAAGGTTATTTATCAGCACTGACTTGCAGCGTTGTGAGGAGTGTGGTGCGTTGGTTGGTATTTATCACTACTGATCTTGAACTGAAATTTCAACCAATCACAATGTCTCTTCCGACATATCATTCTACCACATTGTGAAAATGTTTACTAATCATACATAGCTTGATTCTATGTGGTATTAATGTGGTAATTTACCATTTTTCAACACTACCTGCAACGTTAGTTCAGTTTTCGGTTCTAGTTAAATACAACAATTTCAATATAAGCTCTATTTAAGCTATAGCCTACCAATTTGTCACGTGGTAAATAAGCAATGTCCGACCTTAAATACTATTCAAAACTACGTAATTCTATCTTATCTCTCAAGCACTTCAAAATCATTTAAGAGGTTTCACCATCTCGTCATATGGCAATATCTTTTTAAACCCTGGTAGTCCATCTGTGCTCTACTCTACCACTGTGCTAGATATCTACATCGTTAAGGTCGTGCGGGACTACACTGAATTGTTGTGTAACACACTTCCTCAATTGTGTCGTGGTAGTCTACCGTATTTCTAAGCAGCTCTACTTTAATGACATAGTGGCAATTTACCAGATTCTGCCTGGCCGATAAGTAGCTCTATGTTACTGATGTAGTGGTAGCCTACTGAGTAGCTCTACTACAATGCCATAGTGGTAATCTACCATATTAAGAACTAGTACTAGATTCATGGGGTTGTGGTACTGACGTAGTAGTAATCTATCACAGTGTAAGTGACACTACCATTTGAAATAAACCAGTGCTGTCACTTAAGTCGAGAATCGATGCTACCCAGTCCCAGTTTTCATATATGCTGGCTCTTGGGATATAAATCGTTATGTTGTCGATTACGGCTTTGCGTTGACTGCTCTGTAATGCCTGACGCCTCGTGTGGTTATACATCGTACGAACGTCCCCTCGATAACAAGTTGTATCTTGAACAATGCTATGTTCCTCCGCTTCTGCGTGTAAATTGGACAAATGTTTGGTCGATCCCGACAGACTTTTGTCGAAAGTTCTAGTTACCAAATTGCACTGCTCTACGTTCATGAATAGGGTCAACCAATTAAAGTACTAAGTTTTGATATCATCGAAATTTTGGATGGAAAATAATACATATCAAAGCGATCTGATATGATTGTCTCCCCCGATTTGACGTGCGTGGGCTAGTCGGGTGAGGCAATCATATCAGATCCCTTTGTTATGTTCCCTTTAGAATTGTCGTAACTCCACAAAACCTGGATCAGTTTTAACAATGTCTCTATTTAGTGCTGATTTACGATCTCAACCATCTCCACATTGCCTCTTTCCACTCGTTTGTTTTCCATATCGCTCATCTTTATTTTATCTATGCTTTCTGGGCAGGTTGGGTCTGGCGTTTGTTCCATCAGAGTTTACGCTCTTCATGCGACAACGCTGACCACTTTTCCCGTAGCTTGTGACCTTTTGTTAACATTACTGCGTGTTGCAGCTCCTGCAACACGCAGCAATGTGCAGCAAGATGCACTAGAGATTTAGTCACTCAGTTGGATCCTGGAGATATGAGAGACAAGTCGAGCTACGTGCCATGCGTTGGGATACGTATGCTCAAAGGGATGTTTTCTGTTGAAGGTGCTCTGCATAGAAGCTTGTCCAATCAGCTGTGAGAGTGAATTCGAAGTCAGTAGTGATAAATGTTCACCGAATCGAGGCCAGTGCAGATAAATATCGCAAAATGAGACTGGGTAGAGATCAGATGACACACAAAGAACGTTCTGAATACCTTGGGCTCTGCTGACGAACCAACGTTACTTTGCTAGGAGAGGTGTTATTTTATGTGTTACACCGCAGTGGACACTTGATACATCAGGAGAGACGTAGTCGTACGTAGCTTAAGGCCCCTGTACTTTGAAACCACCTTTTAATGGTTATTGGTTTGAGTTGTACGGTGTTATTTTATGAATGCCCTTAAGAGAACTAGCAAGCAAAGTCTTCACCAAATATATCCAATACGGGATCGTTTGTCACCGAGTTTTTCGGTATCTGAACGTCCTGACCAGGCCCAACCTTGTTGCGAACCATAGCCGAGAACAGTTTTTACCGCTCTAAATTTGTGTCGTGTGTAGCGTCAACTAAAATCGTGTCAGTGAAACTTGAAAAGAGCGATCGCATATGAGAAGTCTGGAAAACGATGCTGCAAGCAAATATCTACAAAAAAAGACTGTAAGTTCATAGAATCACTGTAAATATTCAAATCGAAAGGTATCCGCCCTTGTTATTTTATTGATCCATATCAACGTGACAGACTTCAAAGTGTTCGTTCTCACAAAACCGGTTTAGCGCTTACGAAACCCTATCAGAGATGTTCCAGGGTCCATTTCACTCTTCAGCTTAGCAAGCAGGTTGTGGACGTCAACCATGCATGGCTCCGAGTCGGTGCTGTCGCATATGTATATCAGAATCTTCTTGCGATACACTACAGCCTTTCTGAGCTTTTTGACTTCATTCAGAGCCTCGGTTGTAGGTTGCATTCGGTGGCTTAGTATCTGGTGGTATTCCGCCTTCCCGAATCTCTGATTCTGCGTGGCAGTCTGATGGGATACAACGAGAAAGTATCGCTCCCCTTTGCGCTTCTGCAGCAGGGTGGGATATAAAGCAACATTCACCGCGTGAGATGTCTATACACTCCCAAAAAAAATCTGAATAAATACACACCTTTGCTTGGCTACCAATAAATCTGCCGTGCTGCCGTGGTCATTTCGCAGCCGTGGGTTTCCGGCGTATGTGCAAAAATAGTATAGACAGTGATGGGGGAGATCAGGAATCATGACCAACTCTGATACTGGCTCAGTTTGGCCATGTTTCGTATATTGGAGTTCATAGTTTCACCGTTTCGGTGTTGCCGAGTCGTGGACGACCGCTTGCAGCAATTCTAGAAATGAAGAGATACTCAATGTTAATATATTCGTCGAAATCACCGTGTGTGTGTGAGAGGTGGGGGGCACGCGTTTGGTGTCGCATTGCGTCCAATGCAGGGAAAATCGAAAATGCGACTGCGCCACTGAACTCAACCGTTCATCCATTAATTAACGTTTAGTTAAGCAACTTCGTTGGAGGAAAGGTCCTGACTATACAAGAATTGGTCCATGCCATACACGCGGTAGATCAGAAACATACAATCATAAAACGTACATTTTCTTTGAGTGCAAAACTCTGAAGTCACCCAAACCAAGCCTATAACCCTGTAGTCCCAACACATCTTCAACGTGGGGACGCTTGAAAAGCATTGAATACTGCTAGTTTTATCTATTTTGCAAGAAAAACGGACATGATCATCACATTGGAGCTTCACCAGAATGTGTACTTCTACGCGATTGGAATTGTAGCAGAAATGACGGGGGTTGCTGGATTGCACACCGAGGGAAAAGCCTGTCACTTTATGGCGAATTGCAAATTAAACAGCAAACCATTTTCGCCCACTGGTGTTACCTATGGAGAACTGCGGTGCTACACTAAGTTTGCATATGCAATTAGCACCAGGCAAATTATCACACTATCTCTGGATAAAAATTTGTTGGGTGGTATTAGCGGAAAGATGCTATGTAGAAATTGAGTGAATAAAGCTTGACGATGGAGTTTATATATGTGCAAGCTATAGCTCGCGTCGAGTTACGAATTGCTGAGTTATCCAAGTTGTCAATGGAAGTAAGTTTATTCATGACGATGATTTTGTTGGTGTGGTAATGGAATACTGTGACCTTCCTTCGATTTATGGAGTTGCGTTTGTTCGTCGTGTCGAGCTAAACGCTCTATGATGACCACTTCATGGAGTATCTGGCAGTGTTTGTTTTGGTTGGGTAATTTACTTTTTCATGGACCTTATTGCGGCAGTAAGACTTCGCACAGACTTCATAACTCTCTAATGTGTTACATGATGACTTTGATATTTATGGGGTATTTTTTCTCTCCTTTGTACTTGCTTGGCTTCTATGATAGTGTGCTCATCGCAACGGACGCTTTATCGGTAATTTTGGCGCGAGGTTGATTATTTTTCGGGTGGATTTGACTAAACATTTTCGTTGGATAAGACTTCGAGATAGATTTAAGACTTACAAATTCTTTGGAAAGGATAAATTATCGGCTGTTTATCTATAGTTTCTATTGGCCATGATTAATTCATCACATTGGAAGCGTTGTATTGTTTTGCTGGAGCTACTTTTCGGGTGAATCTTGCTGGCTAAGACTATGAGACAACTCAAACTTGCAACTCTTCAGACATTATTATATTTCCTCAGACATGAAGAATGACATGAATTATGGCTGGCTGACCTTGAACAATTAACTTCAACACACATCTTTCATTGGCAGTCGAGCCGCTTTTCATCCGGAAATCACTCTCACCAGCACGTACAAAACGCAATGCTCGTTCACAATGTCGTGTGGATTCTTCCTGAGCGCAATGGAAATAATTATGCACGGAAGTATGTGACGAAGCGGAAAGAGATGCCCGGATCAGAACGTCTCCAGAAGGATCAAAGTGGCTGAGAGGCCATGGTGGAAGACGCTTAACCCCTCTGTTACCGCAAATGGAGCCTCTGAACGTGCAAACCTTACGTCGTAAGTTACGACGTTATAATAACAGCATTATAGTAAAAGGGTGTCCCTTTTGCCGCAGGATTCATCGTCGATGGTGAATAAAGTTTTGAAGTGTTTAGTCTTCACATATCGTATACTTACGACTTCTCCTAACCGCTAACGCATAGAGAAGTCTAACCTTACGCCATCCACATAAGCCTGATTCAAGAAATGTACATCCCACGTACAAAGTCAATTACATTAAACAACAGCACTCAAGGTACTACAAGCGAACCCCCGTTTTATGGCGCTATGAAACGTTAGCTACCTACGCAGTTTCGCCCTCGTCATCAGTATCGTCCCCCTCTTCCCGCAGCAACTCACGACGCGTTTTATTGCGCCTTCCGAACTTGGTCGGACGTCGAAACACTACTCGTTTTCCTAGCGACTCAGGAATAGACTTTCCGCACTCAAAATCCTCAAGCAAATTCTGGAAGCATGTTTTGGTGATACCGTTGTACTCACGTAGGGCTTTCGGGCAGAGAAAATTTTTGGCGTCACCGCTGGAGCAGTCTTCGCAGTAGAACGTCGTTTGGAAAGATTTTACCTCTCACCGCGAAGAAGTGCGCATACTTTACACGCACGCTCTCTCCACTTTTGAACGCCAGACACAGTGACCCAGTCATCGTACTGTTTGTAGATGTGCTGTGGTGGGCGACGACGTTTTCGCCGTGAGGGAGCCGATGGCTGTCGAGTAGCAATAGGATCCAATTCGAAATCTTCGAGTTTTAATTGCAGGAGCTGGTTGTGGAGTACAGTCGTCCACGCAGCACGAGACATTGGTGCAGTTCTCATTATTCGGCACACCTCCTTGTATGTGATAAAAGAATTTACAGTCGCCAGATCTAGAAAGCCTAAACTAAGGACTTCTAGTGCTTTCGAAACCGAAAAGCAATTTCAATTGAGAATGACTGCAGGCGGAGTTAATCATGAATATCAACTCCGCCAATCCAGCGCTGGTAATCGGTCACTAGCTTGGGGCACTTCACAGTAATCGCCCCGATTCGCTTCACGTTGCGCTGAATCGTGTTCTCCTCCATCGATGCACCCGTGGCCAAATAGTGTACTGGCTTTCGGTCCCACTAGTGACCATTGTAGGCACTGCTTCGCAGCGAGAAAACGTAAATGTTCCTATCTCAACTCCACGAGGCCGCGTCCGGCGGCTTTCAACGACTTGGTTCGTCATGATTGTTCCGAGGACGTAAATAGACATACTTAAGAGCTGTAATGCCAGTGCTACGGACGAAAAATGCCAGTAGACAACGACCATTCGAAATCCACTGGAGCACTCTCCAAGTAGCGATTTCAGGTTGCGAATGGCGGCAGCTACACCAGTCTTGTTGTCGATACTGGTGGAGTCTCCTTCTGTTGATTCTCGCGCTCCAACATAGACTTCAAACCTAACACGGTAGGTTACGACGTTAGTGTTTCAGAATTGCTAGACAAGTCATTAGTTATGACTTTGTAAAAAGATACAAACACACCTGTGGCCGTAAGCTGTCTCTAAGTCGCAAACCATAAAACGTTTGGTACCGTACCGACGAGGTTTATCTGACATAAAATCCGCGTAGTGTTCCGCCGACATGTTGCTGGTAACACGCCTTCATCGAACGAAAACACTGCTGGCAATGTCCAGCCAGGCTGGAAGCGCTGCTGCAGAATGTCTACGACCGGCCGCAGTTTCCACATTTTGTCTCGAGTGCGGGGTGCATTGTTGTTTGTGAAGTGTAGACAACGTAGGATAGCTGTACATCGATTGCGTTGCATATACTTGCCAAAGTACCAGCAGGTAAAGCTCCATCACACACCATCGCCCAGTGTTTCGAGAAACCGTTGCTTCTGGAGCCACAACATGTGCGCAACAAGAAGCCCGATAACATGCAAGATTTCGCAGGTGTCGTACGCCTTTACAGCGCTCAGACGCCTTCGTATCTGCAAAAGTGTTCTGGTAACGCGACACGGTTGCTACGCCTCTGACTTGCACAAATTTTCTTGGCTTCGGAATCAATGTTCTGGGCTCGATAGCGGTTGGTTTCAGTCGCGATGGTGACCCACAACTGCTTTGGCATGAAGTAGAACAGTAACCCTAGTGGTGTAGTTGCCATTTCCCGTAGCTCGTGCGTAGGAATCGCTCCGTAACTTGAAAGCCCCTGGTAGCTCGGCCTACTTATGTTGAACAGAGAGGACGGTTCACCCCACTTCGTCAGGCGCAAGGCATCCTTGTCGATATTGGCAATAGACAGACTTCCACAGAGCGAGGCTACGAATGTTTGGTCCACTAGTTTCAGCACATCATCCGGGAGTTCATCGTCGCCTTCCACATGTTCCCTGCGCTCTAACACATCATCTTCCTCACAGTCATCATCACTATCATCGCTGTTGCTGGAGTTCATACACTCGAAGTCATCGGAATGTTCACCTTCTTGTAGCACATCCACATCGTCCGCTCTAACGTGGACCGGGTGGAGACTTTTCCACGTGTTCTGAATCATCGTGCTTGCTCTCGTTGTTCGAAAGATGGACGTGTCCTTCGGATTCAGCTTCCGCCAGCATTCGCTGGAACGCGCCAACGACAACATCTTCGTCTGATAGCTCGATCTGACCCGATGGCTGTTGCGCGGTGTCCACGGTCGGTGCAGTCACTTCTGTATCAGCTCCGGCGATCTCCTTGTCTGCATCACTGATGCCATCAAACAGGGCATCCAGCGTAGGCGTGGACAACATCAAAGAGCAGTCAATTTGAGAAGGGCGGACGTTTTCATCTGGCTCCTCTCCATTCTCGTCACTGCTTTCATCCAGATTGATCAGCCCAGATGAAATCGCATACCTAACAACCGCGTCCTCGCCTTTGAGCATGGTCACAGTTAGTACTTAGATAGAGAACCCTCTCAACGAAAACCTCACCAGTGAACATGTTTGTCCCTTCAACCAACTCATGCGAGTCACGGTTCGGAGCGTAGTATATCCACTCCGTATCAAGCCGCGTCGGTCTCTTTGACGTCCACCTAACCGCGCGGAGCTGCCGCCAAAGATGCCTGAAATCTACCGAACGCGCCACCGCAGCATCTATTGTCACCGTACTCGTTGCCAATTTCCAAATGAACTGGTCTGGCACCGTGGAACCGTTCATCACTGGATACGGATCCGTTTTTCCCGCGTAGCCCTATCCATCGTCCGTTTTGTGCACATGCAACTTTGATATCTTATCGCTCAGAAATTATACTTGATTAAAGTAATGGAACGCTTTTATCGAGCCATTTCCTATTGTTGGTGTCGTTAAAGCCGTAACTTACGACTTAGTGATTTTGCAAAGTCGTAAGTTACGACCTTGGTAACATAGGGGTTAAGGAAAATGTGGCACCAACTTCCTCTAGCCGAGCGCGAGCAACCGATGCAAGATCATCCTGATCGAACCTTTCCTGCTGGAAGCCACGGCATTTTGGATGAGAGACATCGAAATAGTCAGAATAAATCCTCTCAAGGACATGGATCCGATGAAGGTCTTCGTCAGCAAGAGAGTGTCCGAAGAAGAGGATAGGGTTTTGCAAAAACATTTGTATACAATGTCCGATGCTCCTTCCACTTACAAGGAACATCTTCTACAGCTCCAGACTGAGTACAACCGAGGTAGCTTGTGCGGTGCTGTCGAGTCAACCGTCCAGAGCGTAAAGCATTTCATCCTTCTAGCTCGATCCAACGGTGACGCCATATCTGCTAAGGAAGCTTATGCTACCGTATTGTCGAGGGTGACTGATGTCATGGCATCTGCACGAGGAGTTATTCGCATTGAGCCTGACATCGTGTCGAATTCTGATGCACCGTCAGCTGAGTTTGCGGAGACAAGAATTCAGAAAGTATTTGACGTATTCAGATGCAGTGTGGTTAGGCTGCACGATATGTGTCGCGAGAAGGAAATTCGCAGCAATCCCAACGGTGCCGTACTACATTAAAAACTCAGATTTTCGGGAAAATCAACGGAATCCCAATTCAGTAGATCGTAGATTGGGGATCTCAAACCATTTCTTTCTTCACCCTACTATTACAAACTGAATGGATAATGCTGGAGCTGCACTGGGAGGTCTTCCTATTATGGTGAATCCGTTTGTTGTGGTGTTTTCAGGCGTTTTAGACGGGGGCAGAGATGCTTGTATTTCGGTCGTGGCTGTTTTGTTTCTCTTGCTACCAGCTTTTGAAGATTTCGATATGTGGTTTTTGTTTGTGTTGTTTTGTGTTTGCTTTGCTTGGAGCACTTACATTTTGTTTGGGCCCTCGCTTTGTAAGGGTCTTCGATTTATCGAGTGGATATTGTCAAATCGTAAAAGGACTGAATTTTAGCTGGCCCCCAGTAACCAAGTGAGCACACACCATGAATTTGTTGTAGTATCCGCACTCACAGATGTGGTGTAGCAAGTTTACTAACCAACCATCTCGGCGCATATCAATTTGGTGAGAGCGACGCAGAGACTACTTGGTTGCAATTTCATACAAACTTTCTGCTTCTGCACGACTTCTTCTTTATCTTCACTATGGGCCTCTTCAACGTTTTGAGCTAGCGTATCATCTCCATCTTCCTCTTCACATTCATAATTGCAGTCAGGATACATTTGGCGCGTTAGCGTTAGAAACAAATTATTTGCACTGGAAGACGTCTATCGATTTGGTACAGTATCCACATCTCCAGATATCGATTCATCATCAACTACAGGACAAATTCCTTCTGCAAGATCGAAAGGGTTGGTATCTGATCCTCCAACACGCGAAAGCAATTTAAATCATTCGTAGTTGTGAATTGCACTCGAGATGCATCATTCATTGCTGTAGCTGCTTGCACAAGATCACTTGTTGGTTTGGGAATGTAGCTATCTCCAACCGGGATTGACGGCGATGCCGTCTCGACAAAGTCACACACCTTCACGTTAAGTTTTCGCATGAGATAGCGCCGTCGTAAGAGGAACTGCTTCAGTGCCCCGTTTAGATTCTCACACGGATTATTTGTTGATGCGTATCTATGATGTGCTCGATACGACAGTCGTTGTCTGTATCGATCTTTAACCACTGTGCTTCAAAATAGTCAGCAAATGCTGCAAGATGCACCGTTGTCCTCCACTCGGTAATCTCTTTATCGCAGATCACATTTCATCCCTCCAAGCTGCTGGGTAAGTGCATGTCCACAATCAAACCCATGACCCGCAGTCAATCTTTAACCATTTCCCAATAAAAGGAAGCAGAATGCTCCCTTTTCCTAGTGGAATTTGCCTTATCAGGAACAAGTGTCTTCGGTTCAAGATTAGAATCTGTAGCATGAAGTATATTGGCCCATACAGTAATCAAGTCACCTTAACCAGATACACGTGTCAGTCGCCGGAGTTTGCAGCTTGGTTGGTAGATCGTCTCCGCTCTCACCCTCAACGTCCCCGCTATAAGAAGTGGTCAAGCCTCGCAAGGATAGGAACACGACCCCCCCCCCCCCCCCACGCAAAGGAATACACACACACCAAGTCGATCAAGATCGACGACATACGGCACCCCACCGTCCTCTGTATCTCGGAGTACCCCCTCCGTCAGTCGACAATCCAGGGCACTGTGTCAGAGTGAATCGCAACGCGATTTTGTGACAACCACTCCACCACACCCTCATCGATGAGCAACTTCTCCGTTACGATGTGGTTCATGACTCCCACGCAAGAACCAGAAAACTACGATCCTGTTACGGAACATAACATCCCAATCCATGTCGGCTCCTGAGTTGAGTCGTTCTCAAATATAGCCCCGTGGAACTAATCCGGCCTGGGCTGTCTTGGCTTCATGTGCAACAACTTTGAGGTCTGGGAAACCTCTCGATTGACGTTCAGAAACACCGCTGTCACGGCACACCCGGACTCGATATACGATCCAAGGTTTTTGTAGACATGATGTGCTCATCCGCGGGTCCCATGGTGTTTGTTAGTGGTTGCTGTCCCAGCGCCGTGGAAGATCGTCATCTACAGTGGAGATATCGAACAGATACTCCGGCATGGAAGCGACTTTTCAAGTCCTTTTCTGCTAGCACCCGCCTGTGGAGTTGTGAAACACCCGGAAGCAGCAAGGCCCCGAGAGCGTTTGCGCAGACAAGTCGGCGTTACCGGACCCTGTATCCACAGATACGCGTCTCCATCAGAGGCATCCTTGTCGTAATCCGAGGGATCGGGACGGCTTGGGGGTTCTGTAGCTAAAGGAGGCCAAGGTTTCTCGTCCCCAATCTTTCAACCATAAGCCTCAGCTTTCGCAACAGTTTGGTCGAAATACTCTTCCGGACGTATCAAAGCCACCACACCGCATCCTATATCTGGAGGCATAGTATTCGATGAAGGACCTCAACCTGGACTTGCTCACGAAGGTTGACGTGTACTAGTATTTCTTTTGGAAGTCGGTTCAGGATGACATTTTCGGCCTCACGATGGCTGCAGCAGTCGGGGTCTATTCGTAAATATTCCAACACGTCCAGGCGCACATCTCCCAGGGTTGCTTTTCCCGGGAGCAATTTCGCCAGCTCGTCGTCGGAACAAAAAGACCGAGTTTCTGAGACGATCACTGGGTAGAAGCTGTTGCGAAGATTGGTCTGGGGGTCATCGTAGCTGGGGCATGTCTGGTGAACGCCGTCGGCAGACATCCTGGTAATGTCTGCCTCCATCCCCGCTCTTTCTGCGCCTCCTTCGTGAATATCTTCGACTGGCCACCCATGTCCGAGAACTGTTGTGTAGAGTCCTCCATTGTACCCACCGCCCGGGCCTCTCCACCGGAAACAGTTAGTGTTTTGGTCGTAGGAATGGAAGGAGACTGAGGAGTCCGGGGTGAACTGGGAACGGACTGAGAAAGCAGACCTTTCGTGAAGGATGGCGTCGTAGGTGAGGACGACGCGACGGGTTTGGGGGTTTGAGATCTCAAAGCAACCTCAGGGGCATCCTTGTCCCGGGCCCTAGTGACCGGAAGTCCCAGTCTCGGTGAAGGAACAACCGCGAGAGATACCAGATGCGCATGCTGGACTCCTGGGCAATGCTGCCAAGTCCGCTGGAAATGGAGCAATATAGCCCAAGATACCGGTTGTTCCAGGTCGTTAAAAATGGCGTACGACCCGGCTGCGTCTAGACGTTCACGGGATTGCTTGATCTCCTCCTGGAATACACCCAGCAGCTGGCGAACAGAACCCAGTTCACCCTTCAGAGATCAGATTTCGTCATCATGATGAACCATTGGGATGGATTTATCTGCTGGTGCTGCGGGGCGAGTTGGCACTTCCTGTCGCAACTGACCGCGTTCTTCCGCAACTCGAGTCACCTCCGACAGGATTTCATCAAGCTTCGTCTGCAAGTGTACGACCTCATCCTGGGAAGTCTTAACCTTGTCTTGGAACCCGAGAAGCAGAGCTTCGACGTCATGCAGCTGACAGCTCAATATGTCGCTCGCCTGCTTCTGAGCCAGGAGAAGACGTTTGCGCTTCGCTAAACCCCGGAACGCTACAAGCGTATTTGCGTTCAAGTCGTTTAACGGCTGCTCCCATTCCCGGTGATCTGGAACACGAGCGGTATCAGCACACTCTAGAGCCCGGCTAAAGACTACATTCGCCATCTCGCTCCTAAAATGATCCTGGTCAGCGCGATTGGGTATGGCTTCTAGCTAATCCACCTGCGCCTGAGCAGCCCGAAGAACATTGAGAGTATTGAAGGCAGAACCGGTTCGGTGAACCACTCAGTAGATGTCCCGCCTTTGCCGCCTCTGGGCAATCCCAATCTTCTGCACTTCTGGGACTGACGCAGAGAGATACGTGTATGCTGGAGAGGTAAGGCCGGTCGGGCAAGCACCACCAAATTAGGATGGGCGACGCCCCCCGAAACGGCGGCTTCATCGACTTGATGTCACGGGACCGCGAAATGCGGGGGCGTTGTGGCTCCGTGACACCAAGTCAATGAAGCCGCCGTATATGTGGAAGGTCAGATCTTGAGTGCGATGGAGTAAGACCTCACGGAGTTACTGGTCCTGTCAACTCGACAGTGGCTTGGAGCTACCAGGTTGTTCGCAAGATCTACCAACGCTTTAGCATCCTGGCCATGGCTGGCGAGGCCATTAGGCGGTGAGCCATCGGGAACACCATGCAGGATGCGCGGAAGACGCGCACGACCGGAAGGCGTACCTTGTGGGCTGAGGACGTTGCCTTCCTCCGAAGTAGGTGCACTGGACGACATGGATAAACTAGTTGTATGTGTATGGTACGAATCAAACAATGGGTACCGAAGTGTGACCACCTTCTGCTCCTGGGGCCGGGCGTCGCGTATCAAAGAATCGATTCCCGTGCGTGCGAGTGATTGACCCGAAAATAGCCTTTGGGACCGGAACCGCTAACCGGCGAACGATTCGGAGCTTGAAGCGTGAGTGAAAGAGATCAAGAACTTGCGACCCGAAGTCCACCATGCGGCCGATATGATAGATGGGATCCGCCCCCGCAAATTACCGGGACAGCGACTATAACGGGCCAAGAGTATCCGTTATCTTTGCATACACAGTGGCTAGGAAGCGTCGAGGGGACTCAATCCAATTGACTCTATGTCGTCGGAATAGGGGAAAATCAACAAAAAATCAACTCTTCTTTATTATGGGACCAGGGCAGTAGCCCTGCTCCCTCATGTGAACCACTCAACCGAGATCGATGCCTGATTGGCCGGTTATCTGTCAATCAGGACATGGCACGCAGCCCGCGCTACTTGCGTGCTGCTACTGCTACATATGTAATATTTAATAGCTGATCACCTATATATGCAATGTGGCCCATCACAGCGACGGAATCGTGCATCCCCCAACGTTCGGACTGACGGTTCAGCGTGTGGATTACAGCATGGGGTGATTGTGACATAGTGACCTGGTCTTTCCAGGAGGTCGGATAAGTATCCGGACGACCTGCCCCCCCCCCCAACTCGGACCAAGAATGATGAGTGGCAACAAGCCAGTTCGAAGCCAGCGCGACAGATGGCCCTGGGATGGAACACTCGAGAGAGTCAAGCATAATGAAATCAAGCGAGTTGAAGATCCCTAGAGCCCTGGGGCGGTTGCCACTGAGGAGAGCCTAGTTCAGCCTTACTTTTCTCTTCAAAAGAACAGATCGAGTTCAACCTGACTAAATATACCAAAACAAGGACCCAGATTCTGGGAAGTGCGTTTGAAGGCTACTCGAAGTATTCCTTTTTGCCGGGGTCTCACTACGGTTTTCATCATCTGCTCCTCCTCGAAGCGCGGTCAAGCCGGCCAGGTTCGGCACTCCATATTCCTTAGGGTCTCGCCCGTGGTGTCTCTCCCCGAAAACTATTGACGACATTCGCCGATGGAGTCTCTCTCGAAAAGAAACTAGTGTATGTATTGTTAAGGTATAATATACTTCTCGTCCCAGGATCGAGGTAGCTGTCCCAGGACGGGTACGTGTTTAGCTACCCGCCAGCGTATCTTGAAGGTCGGAATTCGCCAGGGTTCTCAGTGGGTGACCTTACCTCTGATCAAAACAACCGATTTGTAGGGGGTACACAAGGTGAGGTTACTGACCGAATTTCCCGTGCCCTTCTTACTACAAGTAGAAGGCAGACCTTAGAAAGTCTCACGACCCCGGTTAAACCCCTCGTCCCGGCGTAGCTGTCTATCCACAGGAGATTCTCCTCCTGATCCACTTGCTGCGCGTTAACCAAGCGGCTTTAGGGGCGAAAGTTTCAAGCGCTACATCACACGCGCGACCTTGACGGAATTCTCATCGCATCAGTGTGGGTGAAAAACTCTGGATTCATTGGAATCAATCCAGAGTCATCCAGGACAGAGGGCGGAAAGATTATTTCGATTCAATAAATAGTTGGATTAAAAAAAGAAATTTCGGTAATGATGGTACTAGTTGCATTATTGAATTGCCGGCATCTCGTTGAGGACAAACGACAGTTGCCGAATACTCGTCTCGGAATTACACCTACATTAATATCGAGTCCTATCTGGTGGTGAACCATGCTGCAACCTCCTTTGTGACACTGAAAACACCAACGCTACAATGCCCTTGTCATTAGATCCGTGACAAAATACATTTTCGTCGGGGAGGCTTTGACGACGTTAAATTCTTTGCGTGGGGGAAGTTATCATGCTGGCTAGTTCGTCTCTTGTAGCGTCTCCACCACCCAGCATTAACAGCTCATTGTGGCACACACGTAGTAGTTAAGAAGACCATTTTACTTCCAGCACTGAATATTTGTGAGTTTCAGCATTCCACTCCACATTGAAGGCAGCCGCATATCAATCAACCCTTTACACCAGAATCCATTACGGGATCTTATTCGATCTTATCCAGTTAATCTGTTCGCATCGGTATATATGCTCCCAGCATATCAACTTAAGGCGTACTGAAATATCGGTACACCTTTCGATATCGATTATTCTACTTAACGATAAATAAGGGTCTCTCGTCCCCCATTACTCCAGAGAGAATTATCTGTGCATACTATGGTATATGCTCAACGAACACTGCCTCATGAGCAGGTTGGTATGCATACATGAAACTTTGTACGGTCTATAGTTTGCATCGTTTCTCTTCTTGTTTTAATCAGTTGATGTATCCCCGACACTATGGATTGCTATTATAGTAAATGTTTCGTCACGTCATCTTTCGAAACATACTGTGGAGTATTGCACGCATCAACTGCGGCGCCGCATAATCTACGTCAACAGTGGCACCAAATAATCGGCCGCGTCGACAACGCCATTGAATAAGCAAGTGGAGGACGCTACCACACGATACTCCACGCCCATCAGTGGTGAAGTTCATAACGATAAACACGGTTGCTCAATAGAACCCACTTCGCAATCTGCATCACAGCGCGCAAGACGTCATAACTACGGGGTGGCTGCTGAATCAGCATTTTCGATTCCACTCACTCGACAATCCACAGACAGAGAACTAGACAATGCGATTCATCGGCTTCGTTGCTCTGTTCGTGGTCACCTTAGTTGCGTGTTGCTTCAGTGTGGCCATTGCCGAGAACGTTTCCGCCTCCTCCAGCAAGGACAACCATGGCCGCCGTTTTAACCCTAAAAAGATTGCGGAAAGCGCTACTCATTTTCTCTCCGGACAGGTTGATGACCAAATGCTGAAGAAAGCCGCGAAGCTGCTCAATACTGCTAACGGTGACGAAGCTGCTATCAAGAAAGCTCTAGATCTTGCTGCTCTAGCGAAGGCCACAGCGAAAGCCAGTGATGACGAAGTGGCCAAGATAACGGCTATGGTGAAGGAGGCCAGGAGAGACGAGGCTCGTGCCATGAGGTTTATCCTCGGGTTTGCTCGGAAGAAGACCACTGACGAATCTACGGGCTTATTATCGAAAAAGATTGCGGATACTGTGAACAAGAGCCCTTCATCTTGGGATCGCCTCAAGAAGTTTGCCTTGGTTACACTGGGTACTACCGCCGATGGATTCGCCATCTATGGTGCTTACAAGCTATTGATGGACAAAAATTATCAAACCGGTGCTACGACGACTGGTTAGAAGCAATGGTGGCGCTCCAAATCACGGTAATTGGTGACTACCAAATGATGGCGATAAGAATGAAGTGAAACGGGAATGCATGTACTAAATTGGCATTCGCGCCAAAACTCAATATTTTCTTTTTTCTCGGGAAATTGACCAAAACAACATTTTTGGATCTCGGAGATGATACACTTTTTAGTCTTTTGTTGGAGTTTCCGATGAGAAGGATACTCCTATTTCAGGAAGTATTAAGATTCGTAGACGTCTAAGGGTGCAAATTGCGTCGCCGACATACATAGATTAGAATAGAGTTAGCAGTAGGGCGAGGAAGCCCCCTGTGGATTCACACTCAATTTTGCCGCACTGAGATCGCCCGCCTCGCCGCGCCCATCGACTGCTGCTCAGCAATGAACACCATTTGCCCCCAATCCGGTTGCGTGATGGAAAACCTTATTTGAATTTTTGTTTGTTTGGTCTTATTAGAAAGTTAGCTCTATATTAATCAATTCCTACTTTTAGGAGGCGCCACTACACCCGGGGGTCTTGGTTATTCTCTAAAACAAAGTACTTACCCCGAAGAAGCACCGAAATTAGCAAATCCCATTCACCGAAGTTTCGAAGACTGGGGTTTCCTTTGTGGGAAAACAATTATAGTTCATACTGAAAAAAACGCCTACATCCGAAAAAGCGTCCTGCAAAAACAAGACGGCTCGAAGGACGTTTTACCAACATGTAGGGCCCGATAAAGGAAGTTTTAGCTGCTGCCAGCAGACAAATTTCACAAACGCCAGGCATCTTCCTCTCTAGCAACTATTGGCTTGCTTGCGGGCCGCAGCGGGCTTAGGGTTCTGTCCACAGCGAAGGCAGCGAATATACTGCAAAGTTGGTTTTGCGGGGTGATAGAATACATATTATGTATGCAGGATGCCGAACAGTGGTTTTCTCCCTTTAGTGTAGGACTTTTTTTGTGGTGTAGGATATATTTTCTGTATACCCTTAGCTATCGCACCTGAATCCCCTGTGTCTACTTCGCAGCGGCACTATCTACACGATCAAAGCTGGATATCAGCTCCATGGGAGTAAAACTCTATGACAGACCCAACAAATTCTTCTTCTTTTTGTCAAAGATTTCTAACAGCTACTGTACATACTCAGTTAGGAATCACGCACAATCGCCCCTGCCTCATCCGGAAATGCGATCATGCCGGCAATTCAATAATGCAACTAGTACCATCATTACCGAAATTTCTTTTTTTAATCCAACTATTTATTGAATCGAAATAATCTTTCCGCCCT